ATATACTTTTATCGCCAATGTATAGATACAAGTTTCTCTATAAATTAGTTAGACCGCGAAATCAAGTATGTCAGTCGCGAAATATACGCAGCGAGACGTATAAGAATAATACATTTTTTTCGTTATTACTACGAGAAAGCGAACATGAAAGCTGTAATTTTATTATTCGCTTTAATTGCGATCTTGGTCGCAGTTAATATCCCAGCTATTAATGCAAAACCTTGGGCTAAAGCTGAACCTGGTGATATTTTGGTACGATACATTTTTTTAATATTACTCTAAATAATAATTAAAATAAGATGATATAATTTCGTGTAGAATATCGCATATGAATTTATTTGATTGGCCATTTTAACTTGTTATATTTTTACCTGTCAGTCATATATTTTCTACAAAGGTATGCAAGCAAATCTTTTTACGCGGAATACGAAATTCTTTATGTATTAGTTTATGACTTGTTATTTATTATTAGTGACAGTACAAATTTACAACAAAATTAAAACACGTTGTAAAAGCATGCATTATTTATATTCTTACACGTAAATATAATATTTAAAATGTTTTTTTGTTAATTTTACTTTCAAGTGATATTTATCAAAATATGTGACACAGAATAAAAGATGTGATAATTATTTTTATTAGCACATATCCTTTAAACTATCATGCATTTCACGATGCTCGATATATTTCATATTTTTATTCTTTTAAATTTTTAAATCTTGTGTTATATTTTTGAAGTTATGCATGGCAAGTTAGCAAAACATGAAGGGAAGAAACCTAAATTTTTATATTTAGTGCAATATAACATTTTTAAACAATAATAGCGTCACAAATTATTTCTGTCATCTTAAAGTTTAAGCACTATTATTATATTGTCACGTTTACTAAGGAAAATATATTGTGTATTTCAGGAGAAACTAAACGAAGTGGCCCAGAAAGCACTAGAAGAAGTGAAGAAAATATTGGGCGCATAAAATAATATGGAAATAATATGGAAATCTTGAGAGTATTAATCTCGTTAATACTTGATACATTATCGACAGACCTGAAATAAATTAATTAAATGTTTGTGAATTAAATAAACGCAGCAGAAAATTAAATTAATCTTAATTATTTACGTCAAGTTATTTAATAATATCCCTGAAAACATTTCTTAATACAAGGTAGCAAGAATATATGCAATATTAAAATGTGTATAGTAAATAATAACTTCTTACTTATTGTTAGTATTTGTGCGAAGAAAAATTGTCCTCCAATTCGCCGAAAAAATTTAAATTAGTCACCATAGATATTAATAGAAAATTACATAAATTTAAACAACATAGGTTTAGGTCGGAATACAATTTTGGTGAAATTAAATGATATAATGAATAAGATACACATATAGGTATAAGATCTACTAAATCGCGCTGTTCTCAATTTGACATTAAATTTCTAGCTCGAAATCTGAGTTTTAATCTATAGATTTATGCAATCTTTGCCATCTCTCTATACTGCAGTAGCATTAATTCATACAAATAAATATTAAGAACGAATTTAACTGTAATTATTTCTGCTAGCACATTAATTTAAATATCAAATGTGCAGTGACTAAAATAAGTAACAAGCAAATAAAAAGTACATTTATTCCGAATGTTCATTTTTTGTTCTTATACTGTTTCAAAACTTTATTGATATCTGTCTTTCAATTACCATATAAAACACGATACATTTTATTACAGTTATGAAAATTAATCTTTCTCCTTACAATGGTGGAGAAATTTATTATTTGAAAAGCCGATTTATTATATTTCAATCCGAAATACAATAAAATAATACGATTGTATATGAAATAACACGATTGTATTATTTCTTATTACATCAGATAAAATCGCGCACATATTTTAGTGAAAAGTAAAACACATCGTATGACATTCAATAAAAATTCAAATTATATTAGAAATAAAAATATAAAACATATATATATATATATATATATATATATATATTTATATATATGTATGTATATCTTTATTTATGTTTAAATACTTAATTAAGAATATTGTCAAAATGTCAAGATAGTGTTTTATAAGATAAAAAAATAGTTTAAGTATTTATAATTAATAATTTGATAGAGGATAATAAGGAATTCGTATTAATTACAGAATATTGTACTTCCATAGCATTTACTTATAATATACTTATTCATACATAACATATTTTGATATACAGAGTGATTTAAAAGATTACTGCCAAACTTAAGGAGAGTATAGAGGGGCCAAAATAGAACAATTTTCGATTAGGTACAAGTCTTTGAATGTCAATATAAGTCTTTGAATGTGTAGAACTTGGATAATATACCAATGAAAAAACGTAATTTGCTACTTTTCCACTAGCTTTATTAAGGTCAATTTTTTATTAAGGTTAACAATAAAATATAATTATATTTTACATAATTTTTAAATATTTTTTATAACAGAAAATAATATTACAGAATATTTACTAGTTGAAAAACTTGTGAAATTTATTTTAGCGCCTAATTAAATGCCTTGGATATTTCATGAAAAAAATGCCGATTTTCTGAAATATAAGAAAATAAGCAAACTTTAATTTCTAGTTTTGTATAATTTCACATCTTGACGTGAAGAAAAATATTAATTACATAGTGTGATTTGAAATATAAGTAGAGGAAACCAAGGACAAAAGTAACACGAGATGAATGTAACAAACGCGATTATTAAACACTTATCATTCCTTATGAATTTGTCCGCTGCTAATTCGTCTGCTTAAGACGTCTTAAAACGTTATATAGCAGCAGACAAATACAAGAATGATAAATGTTTAATAATCATGTTTGTTACATTCATCCCGTGTTACTTTTTTCCCTGATCTCCCCTCAACTATAAATATAAAATAAATACAATGTAAAATTTGTAATATTAAAGATACTTGGGTAAGCAATCTTATTATAAACAAAGCTTTTATACATTAGCCGTCCCCACTCTTGATCCGCCCACAATGTGGTGCTGACACTTATGTAACTGCAAAAAGCTAACAACTGTAACAAAACTATGCATTCATCGTTGCAACACATAAAAAATATTGACTTGAAGTTTAAATGCTACTCTTCTTAGCAATTCATACAACAAAGAATTATTACGGAATGTTTATTAATTAAAATATTAAATAATACCTGCTGCATTTTTTATGCCATAGATATTATTCGATTATAGTGTATTTAGCCTTCCATCTGCTTCATCAACCAAGCCCATCCCTTATCTATTTGATCAAAGATGCCGATTTTCTGAAATATAAGAAAATAACCAAAATTTAATTTCCAGCTTGTATGATTTTACATTTTGCGACGTAAAAAAAGATATTTATTATACAGTGTGATTTGCAATAACATTTTCTTATAAGAATTTATATTTTTGTATAGATGTTAATAAAAAATTTGCTCTTTTTTAACACTTTACTCATTTATTGCAAATTAGACTCTTAAAGTGATACACGCGTGCTCATTATATACACAATTTTAACAAGGTATAGCATTGCAAATAATATATTTATATGCTTTTTGTGATTTAAAAAATTATGCGATTCTTATTAAAAAACTATTAATTATTAATTTTTGAAAACAAGCATCCGTATAATTATAAATAAATAGATATAGTTATAAAATATAGAACAAATATGAAACAAATACAATATAGAATATAAAATATTGATACTTGAATAGTTTTTAGCAGTCTTTTTATAAGCAACGTTTTTATACCTTAGCTTTTCCAAATTCATCAGCAGATGATTCAGCCATGATGCCAGGGCTCATGGTAACTGCAACAACAGCAACTAATAAGAATACGTATACTAACTTCATCGCTGCAACTTAATTTGAAATTTTCAATGTGAGTATTGTCATGATACCTCAAATTTATACCACAAAAATCGTGGTTGGGATACCATAAACATTATCTAATCTACGAAATAAAATTTTATCAAAACTTTATGCACTTTATTTATGGTGTTTGTTGAACATAAAATTGTTCAAGGAAATTAAACACAATTTCACAGTTTATGTTCGTATATTTACGATCCAAAAATGTCTGCATTATTCAAAAAGAAAAATGGTAGGTAATGCAAGAAGGAAAGAGAAGCGAACACTAAAGAGTGAGTTCAGAATTGCGAAGGATTAAAACAAGGATAAATGAATAGCGGCCGGACTGGATCGTTAAAAATAAAACGCAGTGAAGTAAAGGGTGACCGGTCGAGCCTGCGAGAAAATGGTGGGAGAGCCGACAGCGAAGAGGCTGCAAGAGGCGTCTCTTGCGCAAAGGAAAGATGGGCCTGTTGGACGAGCGAGAGAGGCGAGACGGGATCTTGTTAGCCCTGAACTTGGTCACGAGGATGCCCGATGTTCCTCTGCGGCTTGAAACCAAGACTGGACCCTATTTCTCCATCAGGCTGCCGGGGACGTTAATTTTTGCCTCTTTCTTTGATCGAGCAGACAGAATCAGATTTTCAGCCACGATTTAAATAAACCACTTTTGTTCCAATTAACATTTGTGCATCCGGTTAAACGCAACGAAGGTGCACACTCATAGTCAAGAACTGCGTAATCTTTTAATTATCTTTTGATTACAAATACGGAAATACATCAGGCTAACAATCGCTACTATTGGGGTCTCGAGAATCACGCGATCATCTATCATTGAAAATGGAAAGGTTTAGCAAATTAGCTCTAACACACAAATTTACTTTTCAGCTGCGTTATAACAAACCGATTCTGGAACACCGGGTATACCGGAAAATGTAGGACGTCGTAGGATATATTTCCGCTGATAATAGTAACCCGCTTTTACCGCGTCTCTCGCACGTACATATGTATTTTCCGGCAGATGCGTACGCTTATTCCCAGAGTCTCGCGAGCTATCTTTAGCACAATAGGCATAGCTGCAGCCTGTAGAAAAATCTCGGAAACGGTGCCGTCAATCTGTCTCGCAAGACCAATCACCGCGCGGCGGTCGCTTCAAACAGGCGCGAGATCCGCTGTTCTCTCTCTCTC